CATTTTTGGGGCAGCTAGGTAGTGCAGTGGATAGAGCACTATCCCAGGAGTCAGGAGGACCTGAGTTCAAATGTGGCCTCAGATACATAACACTTACTGGCTGTGTGACTATGGGCAAGTCACTTAACTCCAATTGCCTCAACAAAAAAAAAAAAATATGTGTGTGTGTGTGTGTGTGTGTGTGTGTGTGTATAAAATAAACATTTTTAAGTCCCCCTGTATTTCAAGGACTCATCAGTTGTTGGAGATACAAAGCAAAAAACAAAATAGTCTCTGTTCTTAAGGAGCTTATATTCTACTAGGAGTAGAAGAGGAGAGGGGTAAACAATAAAGCAACACAAAAAAATAGTTACTGAAAAGTGAATATGAAATATACAGAACAAAAACCAATGATTGGTATTGGTTCATAATATTGTTCACCTACATAATCCTGACCATTGGTGAGATCACTATTGAATTCTGTCTAAAATAAGAAGCAGCGTGATAATGGTGGATAGAGCCCAGGACTTGGAGGCAGGAAACTTTGTATTGAAGGCCTGTTGTGTGATGAGTAAGTTATCTCCTTATACATTTAATGTATAGTAATAGTCAGGAGGATCTATTCATGTTAAAAGAAAAAGTATTAACCGGAGTCTGTGAAAATTAGTCTTGGATCTTATGGATTAATGATTAGATGGCAAAGTCAGATACTTTAATAATGTAATATTAATGATGGAGTTATTTCAGAAATGCCAAGATAGTGCAGTTGCTTTATTGCAAAGTTTTAAAATGAATTAATAAATAATTTACAAAATTGTGTATAATACTTAAGCATTGTATTAAATTCTGTGTAATAAAATGTGTTATTTGCATGTTTGGTTTGTCTGTAATGGCCATTAAAGTAACTGCCCTTTTTTCAATAGCTTCTGTGGTTTCCCTAGAGATAATCAAAGTTCACAGAGGGCAAGGGCAGAGCAAAATCTATGAAATTAATTACAGTGGTTCAGTAGGGAACATTAGTCCCAAAGAGCTTCCGATATTGTCCTCAAAGAGATATCTAGTATTGACCATCTAAAATGAGGGTGTTTTAAGTTGAGAAATTTCTGCTAGAGTGCCATCTTGTGTTGCAATTTTGAACTTCTGCCCGTAAGGAATTTTAGTTAATGAACAATAAAAGGTTGATATGCTAGTCAAAAAAGACTGGATACTTTATCTCAAATATATGCAATTCAGATCCTGATTAGTCATCTTATTTACAGAATAGCCCTTGAGAACAAGAATTGCAATGTGATTTTTCTTACAGAATCTCATTTGAAAAGAGTTGATAATTTATTAAATATTCATAGCATCCATGGATCAGAATTAATGACACATTTAAAGGATAGCAAGATCATGTTGCTAAATACTCTGTACATTAAAAAAAAAAGTTCAATGTGATGACACAAAGGTTCTTGTTTTAAAAAAAATAAAGCAGGGATCTTGATCCATTGGAAAGAGATATCTTGTGTTAGAGGACTTTGGTTCAAATCCAGCGTCTACTACTTACTTCTGGTGTGATCACAGTCTAATCACTTAATCTTTCTGGACCTGTCTGAAAAATGGGAGGGTCAATCTAGATAACTTCTACGATTTCTTTCCATACTTGTGATCTTAGTATGATATTAAGACATACAAGGCAGCTGGGTGACATAGTAGAAAGAGTACTACGCGGTGTAATTTCTTACTAAGTGTAAATCCGACCTCAAACATTTAATAACTGTGTGACCCTGGGCAATTCTCTTACCCTCTTTAAGCTCCAGTTTCCTTATCTATAGAATGGAGATAATTAATAATAGTGCCTACCTAACAGGGTTTTTGTGAGGATTTGGTGAGATAGCATGTGTCAAGAACTTATTAAACCTTAAAACACTGTATAAATGCTAGGTATTATTACTTCAGAGCTTCTCCTAATGATAAAGGGAAGTAAAAAATGGAAAAGAGGATCACTGACACATTTAGACAAATGCACACAAGAAAAGAGAAGGAAAGTCTGGGAAACACAGAAGAGCATATCTACTTTGAAAACTAAAGTGTTGATTTTATTTATTTTTATAGAGTACTTTTTGGAAAACCAAGCAATACATAGTACAGATTCACAGCTTCTTGTTCTACTTCGTATGTGGGCATGCTCATTTTACTTGATCTTTTATGTTCAGATTTAAACAACTAATGAATTAAAATAAATACTATACTTACATCATGAAATGGATTATAAATTATAGAACTATGTTGAATAGAAAAAGGGGAAATTTGACTTAAAAGAATGAAGCAAAATTATCTAGTAAGGGGTAAAAGGGAGAAAAAAAGTTATAGTTAAACTTTGTGGAACCATTTATTGACTAAACTCAAGTAGAATTGGGCCAACATGAGCAAGACAATGGTTTCCTGAAATTAGGTAAGAATGGATGCTTATGATTGGGAGTAAAATAGAAAAGGCCATGTAAGGCTGGCTTTCATGACTTCTTTAAGGTTTAGTTGGAGGTGTTTTATAAATTTATACATTGAAATATAATTTGATAATGAATGAAATATTTTTATAGTAATTGACTAAGGGCATCAAACCAAAATTTTAAAAAAATGCATTTCAATTTTTTTCCCCAGAATATCACGTCAAGTCTTTTCTTCATCTTCCTTCTAAATAAACAGTATAATCACATATAAGTTTGTGTATACTGTGGATTAGAACATGCCCTCTGAAAGATCAGTGTAGATACTAAAAAGCCTAATGTTACAATTACCTAAATAAGAGGTTGTTAATGATAAAAAGGATGTGTGTGTTTGTATGTGTTAACATGCATGTAATGTATCCAATTATGAACCTTGGTTGTATAGCTCTATTTTATTCATTCCCACAGTCCTGTCAGGAAGACAGTTAAGCTTTGTGTTCACATTGTAGTTATATTGGAATGTGAGTTGAATTACAGCCATAAATGACCCCTTTAGTATATACTTAGGATTCCGGGAATCTTCCATGAAATTTACTTTTCTAATAGTTGCTTTCATAAAACTTAAAAACCAATGCAAATCAATCAGAGTTGGATATTATACTAATTCAAGTTGTTACTAATCTGAATTTTGTTACTTGGAAACAAAATTAAATATCAAAAGTAAATATAGTAATTTATTTCAGATCATTTGTCTTACTGTTTTATCTCTATAGCCCAGGAGCCAAATCAGTTTTTGGCCTGGAGTTAAGAAATTTTACATTTTAATTACAAAAATGTCAAAACCATTCTTAGCTCATGAGTGTGGGAGGGATGGGTGGAAAGAGTTGGCGCAGGAACCATGGTTTTTCAACCTCTGACCAAAAATGTGAATTTATATGTAACGGTTTTTTTTTTTTAGTATTCCAGTATGTATATAGGTACATATATACAAACCTAAATATATGTGTAAAAATAAATAGTGTGAAAGTAAATGTAATTGATATATCCAAACTTATAATACTGTCCACTCAATCTTCATGCATGGTATATTCATATTTATGATCTTAAACTCTTAAACAGAAACCTCATAGATTTCATTGCATTTCAGAATTGATAAACTTTAGTAGCATAAGAAATACTCAACCCCCAAAACATAATTACTAATGTTTTCCCTGGATCTCTTCCTGACCAATGACTATTCTGCTTTATGCCTCGGACAGTTGAAATAGTAAAGTCTCGTACAATTAATGATTTCCACAGTCTGCCTTCTGATTATTTTAGTATTTATTTGGTTTATAGTAGGTGCATGATAAATTAAGGAAAAGAGAAAAAATTAAGCTACTGTCACTGGGGTAATTGATGGGTGGTTGGGGAAGTGTTCACATGAAATTAGGAAGGAGGACAGATAAGGTGATGGTAAAAGGAAGTTGGGGGGAATAGCACAACCTACTGGTATTGAGTATGTTGAAACATTTGTATGGTGATTCTCCTTAGATTGAAAACATTTATTGTGTCTGGATGACAAATTTAGTCCTTTCACTTAATTTCAGGTGGGTTTTTTTTTCCCTCAGAAACTTCTTACACTAAAACAAAGCATAGCTCCGGAAGGACAGAGGACACATTTTTTTTTATGCTTCAGACTCAAAGAAAGTCAGGAATCTTGATAGTTGGTGAGCTAGTATTGAGGATAGGAGTGTTTCCATCATTTCCCACTGTTTATGTGAATGAGTAAGTCATCCTCTGGAACAAGTAAGCATAAGAACATTGGCAATAACTAATGCCTTTTGTCTGGGGTGCAGTGGCTCAGGGAATTGGATTATGTCAGGCTTCATCTGCTGCCTAATGCAATGTAACTTAGGGGATGAGATAAATCACATGCATGACACTGTATTAGGCTTGAAAGATGATCACTCTTCCAAAGTAATCACAAAGTGAATATTTCAATGCTGTAGATTTCAGGAGGTTATTGAAGTCAAAATTTGTTGCAGCAAATTCAGTCTGCTTTCATAAGTGATATAAAAAGTGATTGGGTTCATGCCCATTCTTTGCCAATAAAGTTGCTTTCTTAAAGATGGCACTCTTGTAAAAAAAACATAACAACAACAACCATATTTGCTTGTCACTTTTTTTTAGATTTATAATACTTTCTTTTGTTGTTTTCACTGGTTAAGTTTTTGCATAGTAACATGGAAGAAAAAAGGAAAACCCAAGGAACTCTGTGTTTTAGGAAGTAGTGGCATATCTATCAGTATTTTTTTTAATTTGTTGATAAAATTAGTTCATTTGTACAAATTAAGGTGTAAAAATCTGATTTATTTTATGTTCAACTCCCTATTATAGTAATGAAAACCTTAGTAGTCACTGTTTAGTCAACTATTCACAAAATCAAATTAGTACAAGTTCTATAAAGTCATAACAAAAATAGTAGAAATAAAAATTGAAAAAAACTATAAACTATAAAAAAGTTTATATTGTACATTCTATGGAGTAGTGCAAAATGAGCTTAACTTTTCAAAAAATCAAGAATATTGTAATTTGTTATGTTTTGTTTTATAGCCTACCGTGTGTGAACGTGAGCTATGCGTATTTGCTTTCAAACTCTTGGAGTAATGAATGAAGCTGCTGATGAAATAGCAACTGGGGCTCAGGTAAGCATATGTGATGCTAATTATCTTCTTGATTCATTCTTAATTTTTATTAGTCTACAATTTCAGAATAAATAGCTTATTTTTATGTCCAAATGTTGTACAAGATAGGTTGTTCAACCTTTTGACTAAAGGTATATCGTTTTTTCCCATTCCATGCAAGAAAGGATAAACTAGTCTGCCTGTCATAATTTAAAGATTAAATGAAATGAGTCATTCCCTAAAGGAAGAGAAAATGTGACATATCTATCTATTGCTAAATATTATCCCTTTATCAAAGGAATTAAGATATCCTTAATGGGTTTACTAATTATTTTTGTAGTATCACCTTTTCAAATCTAAATCCAACAAATAATATCACAGGATAGTAATAGAGGACTTCAGTCATTACTGTGAAGGAGTTGGAATGAAAAAATCTTCCAATTTCCTGTACCATTTTAAGAAGGAACATTTGAAAGGGTTAGAACTCATAAAACAATAGCATCTACTATTTGATATCTAGATTCTAGAAGATTCAAATAAACCATTGCCTGGTTAACTAAACTGAGAATATAAAAATCATCCATGGTATTATTGTGTATTTCCACAAGTGGCCCAAGCATGTTTGCTACCCACATTTCATTGATCCCTGAAATAAAGTCCTATAAATGCAGGATAAGTTCATTTATAGGCTGCTAAAACAACAACAACAACTCAGTTTTGATAAGAAAGTAAGGTTTTATTTTAAAGTTACTAACATTAATCTTTTAAAGTGTTATCATTTTTGAGTTTTAACACTTAACAACTGTAATTGTTAATTGTAATTTCTAAATACCATAACCTTTTGAAAATAGTACCAGCCATCTTCTTCATCCGTGCCACTTCACTTGTGATGTTGTCCCTAAATCACTTATAACACTGGCCAAGTCTTTTCTCCTTTCCATCTTTAAAACAGCCATGCCATGGGATCTTATGATTTCCCTTCTAAAAATGTGTACAAATCTCTTGATAACTCATGACTAATTAGAGGCAATGTTGTGTAGAAACACCTTCAGTGAGTAGAGACTCAGGAGACCTGGACTATAACTTCTCCTCTTGCCCTTACCTTGCTTTGGCATCTTAAGTCAGTCAGCCATCATCTCTGAGTTTCAGTTTCCTCTTCTATAAAATGACGGGGTTGGATGAAATGGGCCCTAAAGTTTCTTCTAGCTCTCTCCACCTGTGAGCAAGACACTCTTTTAAGTTTCTTGCCAACTCTTTTTTTTTTTTTTGCTAGGGGTTAAGTGAATTGCCCAGGGTCACATAAGTAAGTGTTATGTGTCTGAGGCTGGATTTTAACTCAGGTCCTCCTGAATCCAGGGCTGGTGCTTTATCCACTGCACCACCTAGCTGCCCCCTCTTACCAACTCTTAATCACCAGTGGATTTAAATGTACACATATCCTTGGCAGATATGTGACTTTGGTACACATTCAAGGTTTCATCTAGTCCTCAGTGATGTTTTCACAAGTCTTAGTTTGTAATGTTCTAAGAGGAAAGATATATTTAGTTTGATTTGTATGGTGCCTGTCATGTAGATAAACACTAGTCATGAGCTAAAATATTTTAGTGAAGGGGAAAAAATGTGATTTGAGTGACAAAAATATTGTCTCCATTGTCTCTTCCTCATTTTTATTTAAAATTTTACTTTAAAATTTTCTTTTTAAAGAACAAACTAAAAAATTTACTCCATGATTTCCTAGAATGTTGCTGAATAAAACTAGAACATAAAAATACATGACATTTTTCTTTTTAGTTCATTTTATCAATTTTGATTCAGTATATCTGCATTTATGTAAAATGAGACAGGCATTTTTTTTAAGTACTAGTATGTCAATACAGCATGTTAGTAATGAGTTATTGCTCCCTTCCCTTTTTATTCTTGGTGCATTATAATTTTTTTTAAAGGAGTATTAAGCAAGTATGTTAATAAAACATAGTTCTGATTTTGGCTTTTATTTTATGATCATGCCTCCTTTTTTTTATCCATATATTTTTAGGAGGGGAAAGTTATTTATCCTCCCTTTCATCTCAGCTCAGAAACTGTAATGTTATTTTCGCATTCATGATGAGATCAGGAAACACTGAAAATATTTTGGATTGGGATTAAGCTTTTTTTTTTCTATCTGGGAGTGGTAGGAGTACAGTTGGAAAAGAAAAAAAATCACAGCTAGGATTTAGAAAATTGCATGCCCTCTTTTGAAATCTAACCTTTATTTTATTTTTCTAAACTGCTGTAATTTGTCAAAAAGGACAAACCTACCTGACCCAAATACAGCCATCTTAATTATTATTCTTTTAAAAATGTCTTTTCTTTTCGCTTTGTTATCTGTTATATTTGGATCTCATGCCTACTGCCTTGCTAATTAATTCAGCTAGCTTTAAGAATTCTGAATGTTCTGCTAAAATCTCAAAAAAGTGTAGGTTCATTAATGTCACATGAACACAGACACACACTTCTAGAGACCAGATTTATATTAGATATCACCATTTAACATCTTGTACCATCTAACTACCCCTACTAGTCACATTACTTTTTTTCATCTTTAAAAAAAAAGCTTAGTTTCCTTTTTTTTTGAGGTCAAAATTGCTTTGAAGAATTTTTTTTTTGTCTTTTAGGTGGGTCCATATAAATCTCAGCTTATGGGGTTAGCATCATTGCATGCAGTCTGCCATCTTATTTTTGATAGTGGAATGAGTCGTAGCACAGAAGATCTTGGGATATGTCAAAGGAAAAGGAATTCAGAGTTCTTCTAGTGCAAGAAGTTGAGGACACTAGTATCAAAGAGGTTAAATGATGTGCCCAAAGTCACAAAAGTACTAAGTGGCTGAGCTTAATGAACTAAGTTTTCCTCACTTCAAATTGACCACTCTTTCCATACTAGCTGAGTCTATCTTGATTTGCAAAAATGGCTTTGCTGAAATTTTCACCTTTAAAAAAACCCAAAAATACCTTATCAGTAACTTTTATTATTTTTTTTTATTTTTATCCTCAAATATATTGCCCTGTGCCACTGTGGATGATCTTTGCAGACTGTTTGGTAATTAGCATTAGGAGATTTGAAGATAAAATAAAGATTTGTTATATATTTTATTCAGCTATGTGGCACAATGTCTAGGGTGCCAGGCCTTCAGTTAGGAAGACTTACCCTTCCTGAGTTCAAATAAGGCCTCTGACACTTAGTAGCTGTGTGACCCTAAGCACATCACTTAACCTTGTTTTCCTCAGTTTCCTCATCTGTAAAATGAGCTAGAGGAGGAAATAGCAAACCACTCCAGTATCTTTGCCCAGGAAACCCCAAATGAGGTCACACAGAATTGTGCATGACTGAAAATGACTGAACAATTTATTGTTAAGTTTGGGAAGAGTTTTTGCCTCTTCTACCCTCCTTCCAAATTGTGGACCATATTATTATTAGTAACATAAGTTTTCTATACAGAAGACTTAGAATTAATACTCTAACCTCTAACCTTCTTGTTTAGTTCCACATTTTACATTGCAGTAGTAGTAACTGTGGACAGTACTGAAATTTTTACTTTTATTGTATGAACTAGTAAACTTCAAAATAAAGTGATACAAGGGAGGTTATGAGGAAAAAAGTAAAGATTTTCCTGAATTATTCAATAAAGGAATGGCTGGTTGAAAGCATTCTGGAGCAAGAGCATTAACTGGTTTTATATTTACACTTGTAGGTGGTAGACCTGCTTGTGTCAATGTGTCGATCTGCCCTGGAATCTCCCAGGAAAGTGGTTATTTTTGAGCCATATCCGTCTGTGGTAGATCCTAACGATCCTCAAATGCTGGCCTTCAATCCTAGGGTAAGTAATGATCCTTTTAGAGACTTCCTAGAAGAGACTTTGAGAGTGTTAGAACTCCTAGTTGTCTTAGAAATCAGCTATTCCGATGCTATTCCAATTTTAAAGGTGAGGGAAGGCAGAGCATATTTGACCAAGATCACACAACTATTTAGTAATAAAAATGGAATGAGGACCCAGGTAATGGCATGCTGGTAAATGTTTAGCAACCACACACTTTTAAGTTTGCTTTGCATTGTTAAAATTTTCTTCATCCCTTTCTCAAGTACCGACCATCAACAAAACCATAAATCAAACCTTGATGTGTAGTGTTTGCCAGTTTCTGGGGTGTAAATGCTTCTAATGAAACTGTACCAGTTGGCACTGGTGAGCAGCTGGTACAAGATGGCTATAGCGTATCCTTGAACCTAGGTTTCCAATTCTTTAACTAAGTACTCTTTCTACTATACAAAAGCCTAGCAGTGTTTTAGATTTTTTTAGATCAGTCTACTTAAATCTCTAGCCTTCTGCCCTCTTCCTGTAATTCTTTCCCAAAGAACCTGTTTCTTCATTTCTCCTACATTCAACTGTTTATTCCCACTTCCAGGACATCATACATGCCATTCATTTTTGGGTATTTGTATTCCTTCCTTTCAAATCCTCACTAACTTTGTGAATTCAGACCTTTGTATTGCTATTCAAATCAAGCCATGTCCTTTTTGTACTTTAATAAATTATGGCAGTGTTAATTTTGCCATTGTTTCTCTGGGTACATATAAAAGTCCCACAATTTTTCATGTGTACTTGACTGCTTAACACATTTCAGTTTACTGGAAGTAATATCCTTTGCTTTTTGCTTTTTTTTTCTGTTTTCCCTGCTCTACCTAGTGTAGGATCTCCTACAGAATGAAACTTAGATAACTCTCTCTCTCTCTCTCCTGGGACTAGGTTGGAAACTTGACATCAAATTACATGCTCCTTTGAGGGTTTGATTTCTCATGTTGCAGTGGAGTTAACTATTCCTTGCTTCCTCTTAACATTCATTCTGAAATTGTACAAAGAAACTATTTATTTAGAAAGCTTTTTCCCATCCACTCCTTAACAATCAACTGCAATGATGGGCACTCTTGCATATATTTTAATTATGTTTGAAACCAAATGACCAATTGAGGATATAATTTCATTTATATAATTGTCTGAGTCCTGGTTTAACACTCATTTAATTTGAAAGATATGTCTTAAAATGTATGATTTGTGGTAGATATCAGTGTTTGGAGTGTATTCTGTTTATTGTGCTCATAAATGGCCAAGAATTACTATGGTGGGGAAAATTCAAACATCAGGACTTGGTGTCTTGCATTTGATTTGTGTAGTTTTTCTTTTCTTCCCACTCAGTATTATAGTAACAGCTTCCAAAGAAGTGAAACAGGAGCAATTAAGGCTAAGGCTGTAGACAAAGAAATATTATTTTTCATGGATCAAACAAAGGAACGTTCTCACATCTCATAGCAGTGGCAGCTTAGTATTCTGTTTTCTTCCAGCTCATTCAAAGTTCATGCAAGTTTCAGGCAGCTTTTTGTCCAATATTTTATTAAGTACCTTCTATGTGCTTAGGACTGTGCTATGTGTTGGGATTACAGAAACAAAAATCAAACCATCTTTGTTCACGAGGAACTCATGGTCTATTTGAAAGACAGTATGTACTTGTATAAGTTTTTTCAGAATGAATCAAGCTAAATCAACACCAAAGAAATAAAAGGAAGTTAAATATAAGAAAAGTAGGAAGGGCAGGATTTCCTGGGAATCAGGTTGAGTAAAATGGCTTCATATCATAGTGCTTAAGGTGGGTTTTGAAGAAAGTGAGTGGTTATCTAAGGTAGAGGTGAAGAGGGTGTGCAATACATTCTAGGAATGAGTGATAGAGAGTGTTAAGGCACAGAGACAATAGATGCAATGCCCTATGTGAGAACCAGCAAGAAAGCCTGTCTGGTTGGATACAAGAGCAGGAATCACATACAATGAAGTTGGAAAGTTAAGTTGTGAATGGCCTTAAAAGCCAAATAGAGGACTTTATATTTCTATCCTAGATGAAACAGGAAGTGAGCAGAGTTAATTGAGTAAATAGTTGGGTCTATAATTAAGGAAAATCATTTTGTGTGAAGAATGGATTGGAGGGGCGGGGGGGAGATTTAAGACAGATGATTAGGAGGCTATTGCAATAGTCCTGGTGAGAAGTAATGAGGGTATGAACTGAAATGATGTCTATGTGTAGAATGAAAAGGGGATGAAAGCAAGAGATTTTGTGGAGCAAGAAATGATGAGATTTGGCAAATGACTGGATATGTGGGCATGAGAATAAGTTAAGGAATCAAGGATACCAATGAGATTATCTTCCCTAGAAAGTAGAAGAGTGATCATACTCTTGATAGAAATAGAGATATTCTATAGAGGGGTTCATTTGTGGGAAAGATGAGTTCTGTTTTAGGCACACTGAGTTTGAGGTATCTAAAGCACATCCAGTTTAAACTATTTAATAGGAAGTTGATCATATGACGTGGCAGAAGAGAGATGGGTTGGATAGGTCTGTATAGATACAACCATATGCATTGAGATAATAATTAAATGCCTGGGAGTTGATGAAGTCAAGTGAGAGAATGGAGACAGAGAAGGAAATAGGACCCAGGACAGAGCCTTAGTTTGTACCTATAGTTAAAGGAAGTGAGATGATTGATGAACCATCATAGGGCACTGAAAACCGGTGGATAGCTATAGGAAGAGAATCAGAAAGCCAGAGTGTCAGAAAAACCCAGAGAAGAGCAAGTATCTAGGAGAAAAGGATGATCAACAGTGGGAAATGGTAAGTCAAAAAGAATGAAGACTGAGCCAGAAAAATCCCCACTAGATTTGATAATTAAAATAACATTTTTAACTTTAGACAGAGCAATTTATTTTGAGTGATGAATCTGGAAGCTAGTAGAGTGAGAATTGAATGAAGGGAAAGAAATAGAGGCAATGAATGTTGACATATTTTTCTAGGAGTTTGACTGAGAAAGGGAGCAGAGATTTCAGCTAGTATAACATAGTTAAGATATTCTAAGAACCAGAGAGACTTGAGAATGTTTGAAGGCAACAGAAAGAAAGAAATAAGGACAGACCAAATAAACATAAGAGGGGGTAAACTGCTTGAGAAAAATGAAGGATGGTATCATGTAAACTATTTTGCTTTGGGATGGAGAAGGGTAACTTCATTATCAGAAACTGGAGTAACAGAGAAGTTGGAATGTATAAAAACATAAAGTTTTTAAAAAATCAAATTTTTTTAAAAGTTTAAGTATTTATTTTCCAATCACCTCACCTCTCTAGTGAAAACAAAAAAGAAAAAGGAAAGAAAAAAAAGAAAAGCCCTTGTAACAAATATACATTGACAAGCAAAACAGTTTCCCCATATTGGTCATGTGTAGAAAAATCTATGTTTCAGTCTGATTATCAAGTCCATCACTTCTCTTTCAAGAGATGGGTGACATTCTTCATCATCAGTATTCAGGAATCAGATTTTGTCATTACATCCATCAGAGTTTTAAGTTTTTTAAAGTTTGTTTTGATAATGTTGTTGAAGAACTGTTACCTTCTGATTTACCCCTGATTAAAGCTTTGCATATAAAGAGGAGATTCTAAATGAAGAAATGCTGGCTTTCATGGTTCTGTAAGTTAATATCACGTGTGTGTTTTCATTTAAACAGAAGAAGAACTATGACCGAGTAATGAAAGCATTGGATAGTATTACATCTATTAGAGAAATGACACAGGTAAGTAAGCATGGTGTTTTACTATTGTTATTCTCATTGTTTTTGCAATTCAGGCATGTTGGGAAGTACTTTTAAAATTTATTTGCGTTTGGATCATGTCCCTTAAGATGGATATTTCTCCTAAAGGAAAATAGGAGTATAAGGATGATGATTGTTTCTAATCAGGAAATTTGGATGACTGTGTAATGTTACTGGATTAGATATGCCATTGTCACTGTCTTTTATGAAAAGGAAATAACACAGTTATAGTAAGATTATGTCGTGTAGAAAACATCCAGCTTGCAATCAGGGACAGCATTATCATCTTTAAAATTACCATCCCCCTCTTCCCTGCAGCTTCTAGTAGTATATTGCACAAGGTTAAACTCTCAGTAAATGATTTTTAGTAATGAAAATGACTTTGCTATAGCTATATATTTATACTATATCCTAGACCCCAGGCATTCCTGGTTTTATAAATAGCTGCGAAGTTTGACTCTGGCATCAGACCTTTGCCAAAAATGGCTGGTTCTTTTCTGGGTTACATATAAGCTATTTTAAATGGGAGACAATGTCAACTGATGAGCACTCCACTAAGAAATGTAGGGACTAGAATTGTAGAACTGGCTCCTCGGTGACCTACCTGCTCTGTGACCTTGGGCAAGTTACTTAATCTCTTGATGTCACTATCTCTTCAATATGAAGATGAAAATAGTAGAATTTGGTATCTTTTTTTCAAGTAGGTTTTATTATATCACATCTGCAGAATTTTTTGAGATAAGTGTATTACAATCCATCGTCAGTATTGCTAAATATAGCATTCTGTACTCCTGAGTTGTCAAAGGGAGATTTCTCTGAATATTTTTCATTGAATATGGTTAAGTTGCATAGGCCTTCATTGTTATTATTTGAGAGAAAATAATAAAGTACTGTGCTCAGGGATGGGAAGGAGAGGAAGGGAGAGTTTATTTTAGTGAAATTTCTGTTCAGTTTTTTTATGGAAAGCCCTAGACTCAAGCAAATACGCTCAGGTGCAGTGGATAGAGCACTGGGCCTGAAGTCAGGAGGACCTGAGTTCAAATCCGGCCTCAGACCAAACACTTGACACTTGCTAGCTGTGTGACCCTGGGCAAGTCACTTAACCCCAATTGCCTAAAAGCAAAAAAAAAAAGCGAATACGCTCAGATATGAACATTGGTTGGAGTTATAAAATGTTCTCTTTTATTCTAATTTTATAGGTATCATTTAACCTTGGAGTGAATTTTCTAGAGCAAGTTTAGTTCTTACGAAGACAAAGCTGTAAATTTTCAAGGATAAATGTCAAGAAATCTGTGAATTAGGCATACTAATCAGCCTGCATTTCTTTTGTTAAATGTGTGTTAGATACTTTAAAAAATAGATATTTTAAGAGAAATCAAAAATTATTGTCTTTTATAGGCACCATATTTGGAAATCAAGAAACAGATGGATAAACAGGACCCCCTTGCTCATCCTCTGTTGCAATGGTATAAAACTTCAGTGTTCTTTTTAATAAAAATGTAGAATGTGGCCTTACTCTGCTTGCTTTTAAAGAAGGAAAAAAGAAAACAACAGCAATGCATGTCTTTTTTTTTTTAAACCTGCAATGCTAAGATTCTCCTGGAAGCTTATGAGCCCTGAAGATTATATAAGCCCTTAATGACTCTCATTTTAATTAAAAGTTCTACATCACTGGGGAAAGAATACACTGTGCCTTGCATTGCAAAGATATGCAGTCCATTTAACTGCTGTTTGTCCATAGTAAAAACCTTGATTAACAGGATTGCACAGGTAATGAGTTGTTCTGGTTAATTTAATTTTCTGGTTAAGTGAAGATTAAGCTGGAACATCAGTTGTTTCAGTATTTTTAGGTTAGAAAATCTTCCTAAAATTCATTAGTTCCTTTTCTTGCCTTAGTCATTGCATCATTCTTTTATGTCAGAAGGTGGTTTGTGTGCTTCAAGATTTCTCCCCCCTTTCCCTCCAGCTTTTTTTTTTTAGAAGGTCCGCAAAATGAGTTCTTGTATATTGTAGTAATGTATATTGTGGTCATTTCTAGAAGTTGTTAAGAGACTTAACTGAATGTCTCCTGAGCCCAGAACACAAGCCCTACTTTTTTTTTTTGCAGTCCCTAATATTACTTTGTGTTTCTCATCACTCACCTCTTTTTCCTAAAAATGAAACACAGGATTAGCTGAGACAAGCTAATTGTTGAACAAAGTAGAATGGTTAGGAAATTCTATCCCAGTACCTGCTGTTCACTCCTATTTAACAATGGTTTCCCCTCTGAGTTAGTCCCTACCAGAGAATTTGAGATATTATGCTAAAACATGGTCACAAAAGTAATAGCCACAAGCCACAGAGAGTGAAATTTTCTATATTTGAAGTTTTATTTAAAAAGGAAATGTTGTTGGGGCAGCTAGGTGGCGCAGCGGATAGAATACTGTGCCTGGTGTCAGGAGGACCTGGGTTCAAATTCAGCCTTGGACACATAACACTCAGTAGCTGTGTGACTCTGGGCAAGTCACTTAACCCTGATTACCTCACATTAAAAAAAAAAGAAAAGAAAAGAAAAAGAAATGTTGAAGTCCCTCTTTATGTTATATCCCATGTGGCAACCTATATCGATCACCTCTAGTCTTGCCTTGGCATTGGGGGAGGGAGGGATACATTTTATTATTCAGAGATTCTGCTTAGTTGAAATCAGTTTAATCAAGGTTTTTTTTTTAACATGACATTAATTGAAATGGAGAAGGATCTTGCCAAAAGAGGTTTGAAAAGACTACCTTTTTAAATTAGACTTCAGTTCAAATCCCACCACTACCATTTACTTGCTGTATGACCAGGGGCAAATCACTTAAGCTCTCTGAACTTCAATTTCCTCATTTGTAAATTAGTGATAATAGTTTGTAATACTTGCCTCCTGGAGTTGCTATGAAAATGAAATTAGCTATCTTATAGTGATATACGTGTGTGAACAACTATTATTGTTATAACTTACAATATATATAAACTAAAATGTGTATGGATATACATACGATTTTTTCATCTTTGGAACATTCTTTGCTTATACAGTGTGCAAAGAGTCTGTGATTTTATCAGCATGAAAAATTCTTATTCTTGGGATTCCCTCTGCCCAATCAGATCATGGTCCATCTGTAACTAAGTAAATGAATCTTAGGGAATTTGTGGCAGTTTAGGAATGTTAAATAATTTGCATAGGTTCAAACAGCTAACAAAAATTCGAAGTGGGATTTGAGTCCATGTCTTCCTCAATCCAAGTCTTTATTCACACACTCAGAAACACACACACACACACACACACACACACACACACACATATGGATATTTATCTCTCTATCATCGACTATACCATGCCACCTCCTTATGTCATAACAATGTATGCTGGAAAGGAAAAGTACATCCTTCTCTCCCTCTCCCCTTGTCTCACTGATTATTTGGTATCCATCTACCTTCTTCCACTTGACCATGACATTCAGTGCGTTCACCTTTCAAACAGAAGAGATACTGACCATTTTCTTTTCCAGAATTTTTTATTCATTAATTATAATAGTTATTTATATTTTGCACATTTTCAAAAACACTTTCACATTTTTAAAAAAGTACTTTTTAATTGACACTTTCACATTTTTAAAAAAGTACTTTTTAATTGAGTCCATTGATGATTGTAATCCTTTTGTTTACAGAGTATTTGAGTAAGTACATTTAGTCTTTTCTATAACTGATAACATATATGATCCTTTGATTTTAAAGTGACACTCTTAAGTTTTAACTTAATAGTTTTAAATTATCTTTCTTGAGAAAGTAGGAAATATAGAAATAGTTGTTAATTGTCTTGTCATCTTATGTTGATGATAATTGTGTAAAACGTACCTTAGAAGTGTTCTTTTCAGTAAGATGACTGTTAAAAAAGTTTTTGAACTGTGATTTTTACATTTCTTCTGGCCAGTCTTCAATGCTAACTTAAAAGTTAAAGTCTTTTAGACTTGTTTCAAGAGAGAAAGGGAAATATTATGTAATTAAATAAAATGATTACAACATCTTTGGCACAGCAAGCATTGACCTTAATCATTTCTTTCCTAAGAATAACAGCATTTTTTTTTTGCATATTTTGTGGCTGACTAATCATTTTAATTTCAGGGTTATTTCAAGTAATAGGTCGCATATTGTGAAACTGCCAGTTAACCGGGTAAGTTATTTTTCCACCTATTCTTATGTCAGTCAGTCTTTTAAATTAGAGGGATACTTGTAAGATGATAGGACTTATTCTATGATTCTCAGACAGCTTCATAAGTTTCCTAAGATTCAGACAACCAAAGGTGGAAGAACTAAGTCATATTTCTCAGTTTTGTAAATTGCTTTTTGTTTATTGTACCAAAACTCCAAAATATTAAATGTGAAGATAGGGCATTTATCTTGATACCATAAATAAATAAAGTCAATCAATATCAGATCATTTGAGGATTCCAACATTATTGAAAAGAACATCACTGAGAGTATAAACAGTAAAGAATCATTTGTTTTTTACTATTTTTTTTTGTTTCACACTCACCAAATGTCTTTTTTTTACTTATATTAACAGCACATTAGAACCAAAGATTTGAATGTTTAAGGGAAATTTCTAACTCTGCTCTTTCTCACTATGTAAAGGGGAGAAGAGATTCTTTTGTTTTTACCATGTGAATGGGGAGGTGAAGGGGAAATAGCCTCTGACTACCCTCTTCTCTCTCTCTGTCTCTTTCTCTGTCCCTCTGTCTCATTTATCTTTCTTGTCTGTCTAATCTATCCATCTGTCTATCTGTTTATCTATCCACTTACTTATCTACCTGCCTACCTACCTAATTATCTTGTTGTTTGGTGAGGTATCCTTTTCACAGAGTATTTGATGGCTTCTTTAAATAGGTATACTTCTAGCAAAGAGAAAATTGGAACCAAGAAGGCCTATTGTAGCCAGAGGGCAAATATTAATGAATCTGGTCAATTTGTGAATTATACATTTCATGGATCATCCACTGTGGCCATTTAAAAATCTTGAACTGGATTTCCTTTGCTATCCAGCATGTTCCCAGCCCATTTATCTACTAGAATGGTTATTGGGTTCTCCTCGCGGAACTCAACCTTGTAAACCAAAGAAAAACTTAATTAAGAAAGCTCAGCGTTCAGACAAAATTTAATAAGGTATTTCAGTGTTACATATAAATGATTTGGGATTATTGGCACATTTGCTCCTTTCCTAGTGCTCTTACAGATTCATTGTACTATATTTTATTATTCCTATCAAGAATCCAATGTAATTTGTCTGGCATAGCATTTTCAGGTGTTTGAATCAGCCTATTAATCAGATTGGCTTCAAATGACTTGAGGTAGATACTGGGTAATGGGGTTCTGTTGGAACCAGTGAGATCTCAGTGAGCCTTCAACCTTGGAAATATGTTCAGCTTGACACTTTTCCATTTGTCATATTTTATTTAACAGCAATTGAAGTTCATGCACACTCCCCATCAGTTTCTCCTTCTCAGCAGTCCACCAGCCAAAGAATCCAATTTTAGAGCTGCTAAAAAACTCTTTGGAAGTACCTTTGCATTTCAGTGAGTATGGCTTAATACTACATGTAATGTTGGCCTCCTATACAGAGTGTTTAGTGAGTACAGAAGGAGGAAATATTTGATTCCCAAGAGCTGGTCGGAAATTCCAGGTTGCTAGCAAGTAAATGATTGGGTTGCAAACACTGCATTTTTTGGTAGCATGACGTCTTTTTTTTTTTTTGAAGCTTGACTTTTAACACTGTGTCTTTGGCTGCCCCCCCCCTTCCATTTTTAGTGGCTCCCACATTGAAAACTGGCACTCCATCTTGAGGAATGGCTTAGTCGTTGCTTCAAATACACGCCTGCAGGTAAATTTTCTTCATTTATGAAAAATGATACTAAGAAGGTATAGTAATTTTTTCCCTCCCTTATCTTTTGTAGCGATATGTGGTCCTTCAGTGTGCATACTGCACACTAGTACACATCTAAATTAGAAGGTGACTCTTGCTATGTAATCTTGTTCTCACCAGTAGCATTGTTTAGAAAAGTACAGAAAGCAAGTTATACATCTTTCCTTTGTGTTCATCTCACCACTGTTTGGTGGAATTCTTCTTCTGTTATTCAAATAGGAGAAGAGGGCCCTAGATGAAAAAGTGAAAGAAAATTCCTATAGAAGCAGTGAAACTATATATTGTGCTTAACACAATAGACAACACAATCATACATGCTTTCTTTGTAATCACAAAGTGTTTTAGTTTGTTTTTTGTTTGTTATTGAAAGCAGGAAAGAATACCAGAGAACCCATTAATTACTTTTTTTCCCTGATCTATAAAATTACTTTCAGGGATGTTGGCGGAATGTTGGGAGCAGATATCCTCACCTGCTTCTGGTCTCCACCACCATACTTCACTTACAGTGACATTGCATTGCTACATAGCTAACTAGCTTATACCTAAAAGTAGTTGAGGTCAATTCAGAAAAAAAAAAAAGATGGCCAGAAATCTTCCTGACTTGTCTCTGACCAAACTGTATATGAAAGGTGAAAAAAAAATGTTGAAAAAAATCAGCCAATTACCAAGCATTTAGTAGCTGTCTGCTACTATGTGTCAAGCACTGTGCTAGGCTCCAGGGTTACAAATTTAAAATTAAATAAAAATTTCTGGGTTTAAAAAATTCTGTGCAATATTTATTGCTTATTTATATCTTGCTAACAATGTAAAATAAGGCAGAAGCCAACAAATAGAAAAAAGAGGGAAGGAATTGGGAGTCAACTTCTTATATTCAAGTAGCTGGGTTGTATGTAGTTCATTGTCTCTGAACCATCAGACTCTGATTCAACATCAGTATATAAAAGGGTAGTGTCTATCTGATCAGTTTCAGAGAGTGAAATGTGTTTTTCTAAGCTTACTTGCAAAAAGTTAAGATTCAGTTGACTAAGGAGATGGGTTGGGTATGCTGGAAGTCCTATCCACTTTTGATGTGCACTGATTATTGAAATTCATTACAATAGATATCATAATCCAATGTGTAAGTCTTCATCAGAGTATACATGTGAATATTTCATGTTTTTGGATGATTGTGCTTTTTGTTTGTTCACAAAATATGAGAGCTGCTAAATTAAAAGCCAGCTAGTGTGGTCTGTAATAAACAATTACTTCTGCCTCCAGTGTGGGAGAACTGTGCCAAGGACTGTGAATTGGCTACTTACTGATGCACACAAATTCTGTAAATCAAAATTTTTGATGCAAGGATGATATTAATTTTCTTTTCAAATCAGATTATTCTTCATCCAAGATGTTCAGAACCTTGGAATAGTAAGAGCTCTATTATTTTGTAAGCAGCGTTCTGCTGTGAGACTGTTTCTGTTCTTCGTGTGAAACATGTAAAAGTAGTGACAGGCTTCTCTCTCCCTTCTTTTTAGCTCCATGGTGCAATGTATGGGAGTGGAATATATCTTAGTCCATTGTCAAGCATATCATTTGGTTACTCAGGTAACACTACAAATCACTCTCAAATTTAATGTCATTGTCTTTCATTTCTCTTGTTCATGTTTTGATTTTTATTGGTCTCTCCTTTCAACATTGAAGCATAATTACTGCATTGGTGTTAAATATTACAAATGTCAGAAAACAAAAGAAATCGTAATAATGTAGTGGTAAAGTGATAACAAGAGCTAGAGTCACATAGCTGTCTTTTTCAACTCAGGAAAAGCTGGGTTCAACTCCCAACTGAAACACATGGTGATAGTTTCATCTTGTGCAAGTCACTTAACCTCCTAGTGCTATGAGACAGTAAGTTTTAGAGGGGGTGCTCATATTTATTGGCAAAGACTATTTCTTTGCTGAGACTTCTTATACACCAATAAAATCAGAAATCTGGAACAACAACAAAAACATACAAAAAAATAACTTGAGAATTCATGAATTGGAAGTCCATCAGTTTTATCTGTGACTTTCCTTTCCCTTGAACGCGTTAATATTTTTCATTTATCTGTTTTATGTTTGCAATTCCTGTTTTATTAAGATGTGCATACGTACGTGTATTACATATTCTTACATGTGATGATCTTGGAGCCTGTGCCTCAAGACTGTGTAATAAGGAAATCTTTGTGGTGCTTCTGCTGTTTGCTGCTACTATAACTTTGTATTGCATTATACTGGTCAGTGCAATTTAAACTGTTAAGCCATTAAAGTTTAAAACTATTCTAAGACTTTAGAGACACCTGGAATTTTAATTTTTAACATTCCTATTTTGTTCTTAAATATATTTCAAGGCCTATATGTTGAAGTACTTATGATTTTAAAATAATAAATTAAAATAGAAGTGATTAAAAAAAGTCATTGAACATCTTAGAAAAAATGGAGAGGGGGAGAAACAATTGTATTTCTTTAAAACCAGCTGTTCTGTAAACAATGTAGGGAGTAGTGGCAAGATATAAAATTGTTTACAAGGACTCTACAAATGTACATATGACTCCCTAAATAAGTTAACACACCTTTTCAACACAGTAAATATCACACTCACATATATTAGTGTTTTCCAATTGTGTGTAGTTTCTGCTGTGATTGAGAAAAGAGAAAAAAAAATGACAAAACCAAATTACGAATTCAGAAATATTTTTAATAAGTTTATGTATTATTATTTTTATTATTTAATGAGTTTTATTTAATTGCATAAATATAATTATCATATATTATATATAATATATTATTATATATCAAATATATAATATATAATATAAATGTAGTAGTTAAATAATTATATAAAATATGCTTGATAAGTTTTATTATTTCATTTATTATTAAAAATATATTTATTATATATTATTATTGTATGTCAGTGGCCAAAAATGGTACAACTACTATCATGGGAGGCTTCAAAAATTTTTGTGATTAGACAAAGGATTCTTCAGAGGCAAATGTTTTGAAATCATTGGTCTGTCTTCCTTTCCTGTAAAATATTTTACGACTTGGTGTCTCCTTTTTCTGTTACCTATAAAAAGCAATCCTTTGTTCTGATAAGTTGTACTAGGTTTTATATGTACCCTACAAGGGTTCCAAGTGATCCCCCTTTGAACAGAGGTCAGTTTTCCTTATGGACAGGCAACTGCCTTTCTGAAGTGATGAGCTGATGTAGCGTTTGGGGAGATCCAGAAGGGTAAACCAAAGTTTATGTCATACTGAAAGACAGAGGATGATAGAAGGGTGTGATATATAAAAAGTATGACAGTCATAATTTTGTGGTAATTAATCGTTTTATTAATTATGGCTAGCAAATAATTAATGAAAGGATTTGGTCCTTTGACTTTTTCTCAGAAACCAAAGACAGATCATGGTGGCAGTAACCCCTGGAGGAGTGGTTGTTCCTTACAGATGACAATCTGCTCTGATTAGTTAACAGTAAGAAGAATGGATGTTATAATAGGAGGTGGACCTCTGCTAAAGGAGGGTTTGGAGAACTGACTTGGATTATGGCACTCTTACTTGCAGACCACCCTGGGCCCCAGGCAATCTAGACAAAGGATTTCCCTTTCCCTGCCCCCCTCCCAAGCCTGAGAAGAGGACAATCTTGCCAGTTGGTGGGGTCTGAACAAGATTGAAGAGAATGTTAAATCCAATCTAATTATCAGCCCTGTTCTTCAGGGGCTATATTGACCTAGTAGAGAGTGAGGAAATTGGAAGGGAAAGAATCCTAGATCTCCTCAATAGTAATTAGTTGTTAATATATGAGAGAATTTTTCTTTTTCTCTCAAGGGTAAAGGGATCATTAACAAGAGAAAAAGCAGCTAGATGCTGACGAATAAATCTTTTTTTCCCCCTCTTACTGAGAATACAACTATTTTCCTTCTCTTTACAGTGTTAAGAGAAAATGATAATAATGATGAAGATAGCATTATTACTATATCTTGCTATACGTGTTATCTCATTTGATCTTTACAAAGATCTTGGGAGGGGTTGGTGCTACTTATTATCCCTTTCTGTAGCTATGGAAATTGAGGAAGACAGAGGTTATGTGACTTGTCTAGGGTCACATATTCTAATAAGTGTCTGGGACAGGATTTGAATTCAAGTCTTCCTGACACTAAGTCCTATATTCTTACCTACTCTACTACCTCTTAATCCTCTAAATTAGGGGTGATCAACATGATGCCTTTAAAGATGCTTAGTTTATCTCAAATGTGAGGCAAAGAAAAAATGTCTAACTAGGTCATGCTCTTTTTGAGATTGCTTAAGTTTTAAGAGCTTTTTCTCTTCCAGTTTTATTTTATGACACCTTCTTGACAAGATTTTATTTATTTATTCATGGATTATGTATGTGATTTCATTTATATAATGATCTCCTAATGAAATGACCTAGACCAATGCTGATCAGCACTGCCTCTGCAGCTTACAGTTTTAGAGAGTTGTTTTGTGCCCTGAGAAATTACATAATGTGCTTAGGGTCTTTCTCTGTCTCTCTGTCCTGTCTTTTCTGTCTGTGTCTCTCCTCTTTTCCTTCTCTCTCTCTCTCCTTTCTTTTCTCTCCTCTCTTTTTCTCTCCTTTCTTTCTCTTTTACTCTCTCTTCACTTACACACACACACACACACACACACACACACACACACACACACCCTTAGAAATATGATTTCAGCTCAGGTCTTCTAGACTCTTGGGGGCCTGATCTCTGTGTACTACAATAAAGCTGCTAATTTAATGTAGTTTTTTTTAAATGATAGGAATACATGTGTGTGTGCACGTGCACATGCCTCTGTGTGTGTGTGTGTGTGTGTTTTCCTATCATTATTTAGCTCATATAAGGCTAAAGCTGCCATATTCCTAGTATTAAATAGAAAAAGTACAGTTCTCCTTTGTAGCCTGAGCTTCCAGTATTACCCCAAATCGCTTGAAGCACCTAGCTCTGAGCTAATGTTAGCATTATATCTCGCCTTGGAACTTGACAAAAAGAGTCAATCATATGTTGAGCTTGCTTCACCTAGGTAGTCCCTGAAATGATGGCCTGCTATTCTTTGTTTCTTTTTTGTTTTGTTTGGGTGTTTTTAGGGATGAACAAGAAACAGAAGGTGTCAGCCAAGGATGAACCGGCCTCCAGCAGTAAAGGCAGTAATACTTTACAGGTAATGCGGTTAATCATGTAACGTTTTGGCTGGTGACCATGGCTTCGTTAGCTAGGAGGAAGCTAATGTTCATGCTTTTAAGCCAACAAAATGATTATTTTGAGAGGTCAGCAGAATTAAAGAATAAAGATCATATAAGAGCAGAGAAACTTAAATGCTTTCTTCAGCAAATATTCACAACTGTAAACTGAAAAATAAGTTCTTTGAATAGTGCTGTTTCACAGAGTAGGAGGAGGGGAGAGTAAAATAAATAAACATTTTTATAAGCAAAAGCCTTCTTGCCATAGTGCCTATTGCATTCTATGTGCCTTAGCAAATTTTACTTGTAAAAATGAAATCAATAATACTAGTTCTTAGGCAACTTTTAAATTTCTCTTGATTTTAGTGTTTATAAAGAATCATGCAAGTGCTTTGCCAATGATAATATTAATATTTGATAGTTTACATTGGATTATGTTTACATACATACACGAATACATGTGTATATATGTATATGGGTGTATGTTTATGTTTGGATATCTATATCCGTATCTATAGCTACACCTATAGATATGTAGCAATACATATAGGTATGCATACATATACATACATAGACATATACAGATAGGTATTATTATATATTGATAGGTACATAGATAGATAGATAGATGAATAGATATTTCATTGGATCCTTGCCCAATATGCTAGATAGTAAAAGACTTTTCATTTTATACAAGAGCAAATTGAGCATCAGAGAGGTGGTCACATCCCAGACTTAGACCCAGAATTTCTATCCTTAAGCCCCACAGGTTTTCCTCCTCTGGAAAGCCTTCCCTTATCTTATCCACTTCTCATATTTTCCTTTATCACCTTGTTTGCATCACACATTTCGAGGAAAGAAAATGAGAATTCGGAAAGTGCCCATCTTTATTCCTGGCAAGGGTTTTCAAAGTGTAATTATATTTTTCTTAGGGAGGAATGGCTTCCTCTTTTGAAGAGATGCCAGACTCTTCCCTGGGCTGTTACTTAATGTATGTTACATTCAAAAAAGCCAGAAGATATATGTTGATATGACTAGATTTGATACAAATATTAACAACAAAGAATCAACAGGATTCTTCCTCTAAATTGGAGGAAGCTTGGCAGCACAGTGGCTAGAGCACTGAGCCTGGAATCAGGATGACCCAAGTTCAGATGTGGACTCTCTCTTTCACTTCTCCACTCTTTCTCCTCTTTTCCCTCTCTTTCTTTCCCTCTTAAATCATGCTTTTAGAGTATGTGCCTTAGTATTTGATTCAAATATGTACTTATGCACTTTAAAGTTTTTGGTTAGGTCCAGCCCCTTTTCAGACCAAATTCTTTTCTTCCTTTTTTTTGGGGGGGGGGATGTGGGGGTATTCTAAATTTTCTTATACCTGGGGATAGCTAGATAGTACAGTGGATAGAATGCTGGACCTGGAATCAGGAAGACCTGAATTAAAATACTACCTCAGATCCTTACTGCCTCTGTGACCCTGGGCAAGCTTTTTCACCTCTCTGGGCTTCAATTTCCTCATCTGTAAAATAGGGATAATAATGACATTTCTCTTTCAGGCTTTTTGTGAGGATCAAACAAGAATATATTTGTAAACCACTTCATAACGCTTTAAAGCATATACTACCGATTATTATTGTTATTATGATTTTTTTCCACTGTGATACTTTAATTCCTTTATATTGCTGTGTAACTTGTTGTAAAAAGAACCAGATCATACCAGTCAAATGAGACTTTCAATTTCATGATATATTGTGAGATGGCCAAGTGGCAATCAGAGTATTTGTAGCAAATTTATCTTAGTGGATAATATATTGATATACTTTGCTGCTTACAGTTGTGATTCCTAAATATTTTCTTCTGGAAATTGTTTCAATGCAAATACTCCTTAAAGTTGACTTTCTTTTTGTGCATATGATTTCCTAAATTTTATTGTAATGTCACAACTTCTTTTTTTTATTTCTTAGTCTCAGAAAAAAGGACAGCAGTCCCAGTTCTTGCAAAGCCGTAACTTAAAATGCATAGCCTTATGTGAAGGTAAGTTGAAACCATTCACAGACAAATTGGATCTTTCGTCACACTTGTGCTTCCTAAATGGCTATCTCTAGAGATAACCTTACATCGCTACTTAACTGATGATCTTTAGAAATGAACTTACATGTACATATTGAATATTTATTAGTATTGGAAAAGAAGTTTCTTCTTTTATTACTTTATATTATAATCCAGATATTTCCTTTTTCCAACTGCCTTACTATTTGAACCTGTTCTCATATCTTCCAACTCCTGGATCCTTCCCTGTTCTCAAGAGTTCACCACTTATGTTTTTGCTTAACTTTGTTCTTTCTGGGGAAATCTGGAATCTATAGCCATTTCAACAAAGACTATTCTCTACCTGTAGTCCCTTGCTCCACTCCCTATTCTTTCTTTGCTCTTATCTTGTTAAATTCCAATCTGGTTCACCCACTGTCACCATTTCTGCTCTTATTTCTGGGTCTCTGAGTACTACTGAAGCAAGGCTTAGACTAACTAGGTCTATATTGAACTATATCCTCACCATATTTGTCAGCTATGTAGCAGTCCTCTTATCCATCTCTGTTGTTGATTCTAACTCTCATATTCCATCTAAAGCTTCTCCTTCATCTTCACACCCCACCTCCTTTCCTACCCATCTCTTAGTGGTTGACCTTGTATTTTATTTTTAACTCTCCTTTGTACCTCAAAACATCTTGCTTTTAATCCTTCCATTTCTCCTTCACTCCTGTCTTGGCAGGTTACCCTTCTCCTTGCCAAGGGTAAAATCCTCCTCAAGAGCCCTTAAACTCATCGCTTTCCATTCAGTTTATTCAAAAAGTATTTATGAGAGACCTACCATATGCAAGACTTTGTGCTAGGGACTGGACAAAAAAAAAGATAGAAACTAAATAGCTACTGTCCTCAAGAAGCCCATGTTCTGCTAAGAGATTCCACACACAGATAAACAAACTCAAGATAAAGTTTGTATATTGGTGTCAAGGTAAAGTATCAAGATAAAGATAAAAGGAGAAGGAAAGCATCCAGGGGTGCTTGGCACCAGGAGTGAGAGGTAGCCTGAAGCTGGAAAAAAAAGAGGACATGATTAGTGAAGACATGAAGTGGTTTTGAAGTATGGAGGAGGGCTGCTGAGAAGTCTCTCTATAGATAAGCCTTAATTTTCTCAGTAGAGTAGGAAGCCATGTGACCTGCTGAGAGATGGGTAGGAGTGGAGGTGGGGCTTAAGGAGATTTAGAACAGCTGCTCTGGGGAGTGTGAAAATGGGAGAGAAAGAGAAATAGAGAAAGACTGTACCATAGCCCCATTTCTGTCCTTCCCTTCTCCTCCAAAGAATAAGCTATACTTAATGGTATGTGTTTCCCCAACCCCTATTTCTTCTTTATCTCTATGCAATCTTGTTTCTGTACTCAATCCACTACTGAAACTACTTTCTCTGGAGTTACCAAATATTAAAGCCAATGGACTTTTCTCAGTCTTCACCCTGTTTGGAATCTCTGTAGTAGCTGGCGCTAGTGACTTCTTCCTCCCACAAACAATGCATGCCCACCTCTACCTCCCTTTCTTTCTCATTTGTGTTCCATGGAACTGCTCTGTCTTCTTTCTCTGCCTCCTTGGTTCCTTCAATGATTCTCTAAAACAGTTCCTTCACTGTTTTTCTCTAAGTGTGAGTGGCCTCAAGGTTCTCTGTTGGACCATTTTTATATACTCCCTCCTTTCAGATCCCATGGTATCAGACTCTTATCACTGCAATTCTAAATCTCAAGCCCAAATCTCTTTCTTCAACTCCACGTTCCTGATAGATGCTGTACAAACACTTCAGACTCATCTTTCCAAAAGTGAATTCACTGTCTTCTTTTCCCCTTTGCCCTGTGACAATATCTTCTTACAGCTTTGCTATTTTTGTTGATGGAACTAGCATCTACATAGTGCCTCGTTTGGATCCTCAGAAACAGCTGATTTTTCAGTCTCTCTTATCATTGCCTCTCTTATCATTGTGCAGTCTTCCAGATTCTTCATCCATGATGTCCATAGTTTTCACAGGCTCTCATCGTATCCCCTCACACAGCCACCACCACCCTTATTCATGTTCTCAGTATCTCTTGCTAGACAATTATAATAACTTGTGTATTATGTTCTTTCCTTTTTTTTAATCTTCTTCCCAGAGCTGCCAAATTAACCTTTCTGTTTCACAGATCTATCACTTTCCTGCTCAACAGTCTTTAGGGCCCATAGGATAAAATACAAAGAGCTCAGAATGACATTTAAGACATTCTGCTGTCTGGCTGTCACGTATTTTCCCAGATTAATCTCACATCGTTTTCCCTTCATACATTCTATGCTTCAACCAAACCAAACTATTAGTTATCCTGTAATGTTGTTCCAGACTCTCTAATTCCTTGCACTTGTATAGGCCTTAATTTAGAGTTGGATAGCACTTCCTCCATTCATCTACTTTTTAAATTAAATTACTTTTTAAAATCCTCTTTCTTCAAGACTGCTTAAGTATTACCTTTTCCATCAAGCCTTCACTGATTTACTCACTTTGCAAATTTTCTTATGGTACCTTGTCTATATCTTTCTTTGCCCTAGTTATGTTCAACCTTGAATCATGATTATTTTGTGTATGTCTGATGATCCCTGTTATAAGACTATAATCTCCTTGAGGGTAGAGGAACAATCCTGGATTTCTTAAATGTCTTATAGGATAGTAAGGCTTAATGTATAATACCTCTACTTCTCCCTTCCCTCCTCTAACCTTTTCCCTTTTCTTCTCTCCAAAATTGTAATTGTAGAGATTTACTCTTAGGATTTAATTCAAATGTATTTGTATACATGTATGCACACATGTGTGTATGTATGTTTATGTGTGTTTAAGCATATAGAAAGAGGGAGAGAAAAAAAAGCTTTTTGTGAACCAAAGGGTAGATTTAGGAAGTGTGCCTCCATATTCTGTTCTTACCATTCTATATGTGTATATATTCATAACTTAAAACTACACACACTTATTTTGAAGAAAATAAGAATTTTAAAAATGCCTATTTTTATTCTTGGCAAGCATTTTCAAAGAGTAATTATACTTTTCTGAAAGAGGAATGATTGTCTTTTTGTCAACATGCCAACCTAGTCCCTCAGCTGTTATTCAATGTGTTATGTTAAAAGAAGCCAGAAAACATGTTAATATAACCAGATTTGATAATAATATTTATTCATACAATGAAAAACCATCAAAGTCCTCCCTTTAAATTGTCTTTCTACATATCCCCCCCCCAAAAAAAAAATAGAAATTTAGAGCTGGAAGTAATCTTAGTCATTATTTTATCCCAATTCTCCCATTTTAAGAGTAGGTATGTATATGGGTCAAAAAGATAAAAAATTAAAAAAAAAACAGGCAAAAACTGGTCTTCCATCCAGTAGTTCATTCTGTAAATTTCTTGAACACAGAACTTGCTCCTGGTGTTAGCAGACTTGATTTTTGCTTTTAAATGAAATTCTTGGTCTTAGAGTGCTGGAGTACTGCTGTAACAAAGACTTTTTCCATTATATATTCTTTCATTACAGTTTTATTAAGGTGTAGTAGTAAATTCATAGATTGATTCCTGTAGAGAAAAATAGTGCCTTCATTTCATCTGTCTAATATGTTGTATTTAATTGCAGTCATAACATCACCAGATCTGCACAAGCATGGAGAGATATGGGTTGTTCCAAATACTGATCATGTCTGTACAAGATTCTTCTTTGTGTAAGTAACAGTATTTTTTCCTAGTTAATTGTTATGAGTGTGTATATGTATGAGAGAAAGAGAGAGAGAGACAGAGAGAGACAGAGACAGAGAGAGAGAGAGAGAGACAGTGAGAAAGAGAGACAGAGACAGAGAGAGACAGAGAGAGAGAGAGACAGAGACAGAGAGAGAGAGAGAGAGAGCCAGTGAGAAAGAGAGACAGAGACAGAGAGAGACAGAGAGAGAGAGAGACAGAGAGAGACAGAGACAGAGAGAGAGAGAGAGAGAGAGAGACAGAGAGAGACAGAGAGAGACAGAGACAGAGACAGAGAGAGAGAGAGAGAGAGAAAGAGAGACAGAGAGACAGAGAGAGAGAGAGAGAGACAGAGAGAGACAGTGAGAGAGAGTGAATGAGACAGTGAGAGAGAGAGAGACAGTGAGAGAGTAAGAGTGAGACAGTGAGAGAGAGAGAGAGACAGTGAGAGAGTAAGAGTGAGACAGTGAGAGAGAGAGAGACAGTGAGAGAGTAAGAGTGAGACAGTGAGAGAGAGAGAGAGAGAGAGAGAGAGAGTGTAGTGTTTTCAAGACATTTTTGTTTAGACCTATGGTAAAACAAAATAGATAAAATGTTTTGGTCTACCATCAGCATATTGTTTTCATTATTTGAAGAGAGAAAATACTGTAACAACAGCCTGATAACATTAATAATTTAGGGGACTAAAGAAAAAAACAAAATATAAATGTTGATTAACACATTCTAAAATCAAAGCAGCAAATGGAAAATAAAAATGAAATCCTTCAAATAGTTATTTTTCATGAACAAATAATTAATTTTTACTTTATTTCCCTATACTTATTTTATTTTTGGTTCACAAATTTGCCTCGAGTTCACCTTATTGTTACCAGTTTGAGGGGAACAATGTACTATGGAAAAATCACTGGCTCCAAAGTGAGAAGATCCATTTCCAAATCCCGCTTCTGACTATCTAACTCTGTTAACCTGTGTATGTCACTTAACCTCCATGGGTCATCTGTAAAATGAGGGGATTGGACCAGATGGTCACTAAGGTGCCTGACACTGTGCTAAGTCCTTTTTGGTTCTCAGTCTATTAGCTTATGTTCTTATGATCTGCTTTTCAGTTAACAAAGCCTATTTCATCTTTAGCATTTAGTATGAGTTATTACCACAGCCCTGACCATTAAAAATGTAACACCTATCATTTTTTTCCCAATTGTCCAAAGATAGTGAATTTCTTCACGTGCATACACACACGCACACATACACGCGCGCGCGCACACACACACAGAGTTATGTAGATTGTAATTATGAGTAATACTTCTCATTCACAGTTGGCAGCTTAGCTTTGCATAAGGAAGCTGCAGTCACTAAGATAATATTATTGAACAAACCCAAGTGGTGTATAGACAACAACTTCTAAAGTTCTCTCCTGTTTGACTACAGAAATTATATTTAACATTTTTCTGGAATTCATACCAGTTCATTTCAGGAACCATCCATTACCTCTGAAAATGAGGGCACTGGTAGCAACCCAATTCTCAAGCTTGTTTTCTTCTTTGTAATAACTAAAAACATTTCTCATGGGTAGAAAATGTGGTGTAGGGCAGAAGTCAAATCATACCTAACATACTGGGTCCAGCATTTAGCCCAATGTCAGGCATCTAGTAGGCACTTAATAAATATCAGTTGAATGACTGAGCAGTGACTTGTGACTTTCATAGTGAGGGCCTTGGTACCTTCTGCTACTTTGAGTCACCAAATAGTTCACAAGACACATCATTTTAAGATTGTAATTTTCATTTCTTTATTAACACAAATGAGTTTACATCATTTTACTTGGCACCTCAGGAGAGAATAGGCTAATTACATGAAATTGATAAGATTCCAATTATATGAAAAAGGAAAATTTGTTAACCAATTATTGTACTTTCTAATTATGATCATAAGTTTCTTTCTTTGTAAAATATGGGGTTGCATTGTTCTACTGGTGGTAGGACTCCCTACTGAATGATGATTTCTTAGGAAGAGATGATATGGAAGAGAATGAAATGCTTTATCATAGATATATAATTATCAAACAAAAACTTAATTTCTCCTTTACTTTATATCCTTCTCTATTGAGCAGTTATGATCCCTGGTGACTAGAAATAGATTAATGTGGCTTTGTTCCTTACCTTTGTTATTAAATGAAAATAATAAATGTTAAAAAAGTTTTCATGTTAATCTGATTCCCAGAGTGTAACAAAGAATAAAACCGTTACTTATCCTGTTTTATTCATACTCCTTCTAGAAGGAAAAGTTATGCCCAGAGTGACATCCTGAGCAATGAATCATTCAGCTAAGCTTTAGGTAAAAGGCTTATGCACTGCTGTACCAGAAGGGCATAAGATAAACTTGGTGGAATGTCATTCCAGAAAGAAGGTATTGTAAGATTACACAAGCAGAGCCAACAATGAAAGGACTAAAAGTGTACGTGTAAATGTGTATTGACTCATAAAATAGACATTAGATGACTCAGTATAGATGAGCCTCCTAACTAAATGCAAAAAAATATTGTTTAGATGAATTCAGACAAATACCAGTACACTTTGATAGAAATGTTATTAATGATGAAAATGCTACCAGTACTTAAGATGAAAAGGATAAAATATTATTTATTCAGAAAGCTTTTATGAAGTGTCTGCTAAGTGTAACACATTGAGATGGGCACTAGGGGAATAGAAAGAATAAAATATACCATAGTTCTTGCCCTTCAGAAGCTTTCTATTGAGGCTTGTATGCAGAAATACCAAGAATGTTAATAGAACTTGTTGCCATTTGTGTAAAGATCTGTTTATCCTTGGTACAGTGGAAAGAGAACAGGCTTTGGAGTCAGACAGCCTGAGTTCAAATCCATGTCACCTACTTAACTGCCTGTGTCATCTTAGTCAAATCAGTTCGTGTCTAGGGTCCTCAGTCTTAAAATCAGCGAAATGAGTTGGAATAGGTGACTCCTAAGTCTCTTTCATTCTAAAACTTATGATCTTGTCATCCAACCTGAATAAGTCACTAACCCCTCTCAGTGCTGCAAACAACTTTCTAAGACCACAAGGTACAGTGAATTTGCCAAGACAAATTGGAAGAAATCGTTTCCTCTAGCAGTGAAATAATAAAATCACAGATCTAGCCATCATCATCATCATTGTCATCATCATCTCTGTCTTTGTGTTTTCTTCTCTATTTGTGTGTCTCTCTCTGTATCCATCTATCTCTGTCTCTCTGTCTCATATTTGTGTATTAACTGCTTCTCATATTTTGAGTATACCATGATCTTTGAGAATTAACAATAAAGATTAGAAACTATCTGAAGGAAGGAGAAAGAATGGGTAGTTTCAAGCATCTGGGTAGAGAAATTCAAAATATCACAAACAATAAATTTCATTCTAAATTTCTTGTTAGATGTGCCTAAATTGGAAGCATGTTTAATTTAGGTAAGTAAATTAAATCACACTCACAGGCAAATGGACGAGTGAATGAAAAACATTTATTTATTAAACCCTTACTTTGTGCCAAACACTATTCCAAGCATTGGAGATACAAATTGAGACAGTCCCTGCCCTAAAGAAGCTTACCTTCATTTTTCATTTAACCAGCATTTATTTTCTTTTACATAGTTCCCTCCACTTTAAAAGAAAAAAAGAAAAGAAAAACAAGACCCATGTAAAAAATATGCAAAGTCAAGTAAAACAAATTTTCGCATTGTCCCTGTCCAAAAATGTGTGTTATATTCTACATCTTGAATTATCTACCTCTCTGTCAGGATTTTGAGTAACAAAGTTCATCTTCACTACTCTGGAATCTGGTTAGCCATTGCAATGGTCAGAGTTTTGTTGTTTTTATTGTATGAATTTTTCTCCTTGTTTGGAAGGAGCTTACATTCTACTGGGGAAGACAATATCCGTAAAGGAGTAGTGCCCAAAGAAGGGAGTTGTGGTCTGGTAAATCACAAAAATGATGAGTGTAGTGACAGAGAAGTCAATTACCATTTTCTTTCCATTGGCGATGGGAGTGTCAATTTCTTAAGGCAAGAGTTGGAAACCTGTGAGGTAGGATGGAGAAGATCCAAACTGGATGGTTGAGAAGCAGGAAGGCAGGGAAAATGGGTGGGGTCAAGAGGGAGCTGCTTTGTTCCAGGGAGTACAGAGTCACTTGGCTTTTCCAAGGCTTGGCTCCTGGTGGTCTAGTTTGGAGGATGGAGAAACAGGTCAGCAAATTCCTATAACTTGGCAAAAGGTTTCTTGAAACTTAATCAGGAATTTATCAATACAAAGTTCATTAAATGACATAGTAGAAAAATCTTAGACCATATTTTTTTTAAAGATACAGAACTGCTGTTCAGTTCTTCTATAATAATCAGAATCATAGCATATTCTGAATCTGGAAGGGACCTCAGCTACCACCATGTCCAGAGATCCTAAACCTTTTTTTTTTTAAATCATGGACCCCTTTCACAATCTGGTGATGCCTATGGACCTCTACTCAGAGTAATGTTTCTAAGTCCCTAAGATAAAATACAGAGGATTACAAAGGAAATGAATTCTATTGAATTGAAATAGTTGTTTAAAAAAAAACCCAAACAAACCAAAAAACAGGTTCATGAGTCCCAAGTTAAGAATCTCTGATTTCCAGGTCAACTCCTTCCCCAGAAGGAATCCCAACTATAAAATAACCATCAATTGGCCATTTGCCTCCAGTTGAAAACTTCCACTGAGGGAGAATTCATCTGTCTCATGAGGCATTCCATTCTTTCAGTTGTAGTAGGTAGGGGGTATTATATTGTAACTCATTGGAGACATTTCTTCATGGAACTAACAAGCTCTATAATCATTCCTATGTAACTTAATTCCCAGATATGTGTCTTAAGCCCTAAACACATCTGTCTCCTGAGGTTTGGTATTATACGTGTGTATACATGTTCACTATTTCCTCCTGAATGATCTATCTGTCTAAAACAAGACTCCAT